TAAAAAAATAGAGACCAGATCTCCTTGGTCGTGTCTCGTTGGACGTTCCCGATGAATCACACTCGAAATTTCACAGAGTGAGATTCCGGCTCGTGTGTACATTCCCCGCTTCATTCCCCGATTTCGAATAAACAAAGAGAAATCTACTCGACGAGAGACACGAGAGTAAGAAAGGAAGGATCCACTCGATGCGACCGAAAAGTCCTTCGATTTCGTGTGCAGGTCGACTGGAGCATTTCGCCCGAAGGAACCTCGACATCTCGGCGCTGAAGACGACCGCCGCGGCCGTCCTTCCCATGCACTTTTGTCTAGCGTCTGCGATATCGTAAGGACATCCCGTGTATATACATACACCGCGTGTCTTCCGCGGAGGGTAGAGCTCGCTCTCGCGCGACGTAGGGAAGTAATCAGAGGCACTAAACCACGATACCGCGCTGGCAGTTAGAAGCCTGTATCTCCGACGCTGTCGCCGGTGGTACAACACGCCCGGTATTATTTGCGGGCTGCCACATTTGTCGTAGGTGGTCCCGCGCGACACCGCGCAGTGGCGTACACCGTATAAACGACGACTCTGTGCGCGACGCGTAACGCGGTCCTTCCACCTTTCCGCGTCGAGAAAGAGGGAGAGAAAGAGAGAGAGAGAGAGAGAGAGAGAGAGAGAGAGAGAGAGAGAGAGAGAGAGAGAGGGGCTGCGGTCGTGCGCTACGAATAACGCACGTCTCTTTTTCTGCACGTCCCTCGCTTTGTGCCTCGGATCGCACCGGAGACTCCGCTAATTAACGGCGATATTAATCCTCGGAGAGTGATCGACGCGATCGCGCTCCTCGTAAGACCAAGTGCCGCGAAAAGTGCCGCGCTCTTCTTAAGGCGCTCTGCCCTTAGTGACGATACTGTTAAGAAGGTTCACAATAAGACCCGAAGAAACCCGGCGGATTTGTACTAAAATTGTTTGTAAATGCTTTGTAATTTACAGCTGGGCAGCACACTGTCTCGCGAGAGAACGTCAAACTTACACAATATAATACAGGCACCGCACTAGGAAAAAAAATTTAGTATCTCTAACGAAACTGTTTAGTTGAGGCATTTTTTAATTGCAACCAAATATCTTGTTTTATATAACAAAATATTTCGTTGTCTCAACTAAATATATTTTTCTGCTTCGTTCTCTGGACCAAATGATTTTGTTCTTAGACTTCGTATATAAAAATTGAGCATTCTAGTTATTTTATCGATAAAAATTACATAAAAACGAAATATTATTTTACATAAACTGTAAAATAATGCCCGATGGATACTGTTTTGTCTTTCTGTGCACTAAAATTTAGATTTTATATATTAAGAAAAAATTATAGTATTTTTAACAAAATTCATATAGTTAAAGCTTTTTGGTTGCTATAACAAAAGTATTACGTTATACGAACAAACCGTAATCAAACAAGATATTTGTTTACAGGAACTAAATATTTTAACCAAATTATTTTGTTGTTACAACAAAATTTTGATTCACGCAACAATACATTTTTCCTGCGATGAAGGAATAATTGTTTGTTGAAATTTGATGTGCAAGGTCGTCCTTGTGAGTTTCATATTTTTTATATTTATTACCGAAGAAATTGTCACAAGTATTATCATATGTATAAGTAATATAATATAACTCTTATCATATATTTCTGTCTCTCTTTCCTAGGAACCTTTTGTTTGAAAATGTGCAATTTTTGCAAAACAAGGCAGCGCTCTGATGGTGAACGGCGACAGGCAGAACAACGACCAATTCGAGCGAACGCATTAATGTCTCTAATGTTGACGTCCCGAAGACGGAGCTAACGGTTGAAGAACGATTAATAAAGATGCGCAGGCACGTGTGTCACCGGATATAAGGTGCCCACACGGCCCCCATTGGCATAAGTGTACGTCGTATGGTCGTGTGTCGTTTGTCCCACACCGACCACAGAGAGAGAGTACACGGACGTTGACTTTTTGTGTGTACGTGTGCGTATGACGTGGAACACCCTCGCACGCGTGTGTTGCGCGGACGAACGGGCTAACGGACGTTGTACGGACGAAGCGACGAACGAACGAACGAACGAACGAATGAACGAACGAACGAACGAACGAACGAACGAACGAACGAACGAACGAACGAACGAACGAACGAACGAACGAATGAACGAACGAACGAACGAACGAACGAACGAACGAACGAACGAACGAACGAACGAACGAACGAATGAACGAACGAACGAACGAACGAACGAACGTAAGAACGTACGTACGGATGGACGGATGGACGGACGGACGGACCGACAGACAGACAGACGGATCGACACATAGCACGCGCATGAATATGTAGGATGTCTGGAAAGAAAAAAAGAGGAGGGAAAAGTGGGGGCGGCAAAAGACCCGGCGCGCATAGTAATCGGAGCCGCGTCATGCCAATAACATCGCGCCGATCGCCTAATGTTCGATCGATAAACCCGACGAGAGTTTTCCTTACTCCTCGCCGATAACTGGTGCGGGGGAGGGAACGAGGGAGGGAGAGAGGGGGGAAGGGGATTGGTGATTTACGGGTTTGCCCGTCGACGCGAGGAGGAGAGAGAAAGACAGACAGAGAGAAAAGGTGGATGAGAAGCGGGCGGGGGGGACGAGGGAGCACCGAGAGGAAGAGAGAAAGAGGCCGAGAGGAGGCCGGGAGGGAGAGCACGTGTGCACGCACGCAGCACACGCGCGAGCGAACGTGCGCGCACACACATGCACACGCATTATATGCACACACGCGCGTACGACGCACACGGAGCGGCTGGAATGGACGCGCGGCTAGGTAGGTAGGTAGGTAGGTAGGTAGGTAGGTAGGTAGGTAGGTGGGTATACACGAGGAGGAGAGTTTACAATTTTCTGCACGACGGCCACTCGATCGTTCAAATGCCAATAACGTTGCGGATGCCAATTGCCGATAATTCAAGGTGTACCTGCCCACGATAACGCGTTCGCGCGCGAACGCCGTGCCGGCGCTGACAGATCGTTAGGTACCGGATGATGGGTTCTCGGTTTTAACGCAGGAGAGACACGCAATGTGGACGAGAAAGAGAGAGAGAGAGAGAGAGAGAGAGAGAAAACACCGGAGCCCGCCACCGTCGAGAGAGCGTTTCGGCTCTCGTCGAATTAACGAGCCATATATCTCACGCGATGCATACGCGCTGGCCGAATCCGCTCTTGGTGAGCCGCGCTCGTGAGCACCCTCGGGAGTCCGTGGGACAGAGGGTGTATCCAGGTAGTCGTCCAGTTAATAAGAGATTTAATGTCTCACACGACGTTACGTTGTGTTGATCGATGCGTGGAGCGTGCGCGGAGCGTATAATTTAGAGGCCTCGCGCGGCGCGCGCGCGCGCGCGCGCGAAGAAATGCTCGATTCACTTTAGTTTCAGATTACAACGGGAGCGAAAGAGAGAACGCGGGATTAAGAGGCAGCGGGAAGGAAGGAGACGTCGCTACGAATCCGCCGGCGATAATGCAGCAATCAAAGGCGGATTCGACGGCGAGAGAGAGAGAGAGAGAGGACTCGTACGACTCGCACGGCGCGATAAGAGAATGATTTCCCTATCGCGATCGCACAGGTGCTTGGCGATACGAACGAGTCTCGCGGACTCGGAGTTTATACTCCGCCGCGGCGCGGCACGGCGTGCCGTCTCGCGGTTGCATCGATGACGACGGCGACGGCCGATAAACAACACAGTTAACGCCGCTGACGCAACTATTTTCCGTTTTCCTCCGATCGGCTCTCGAGCGAGCTCTCGCCGCCTTTCTCGCCTTTCTCTCCTCGTCGTCCGGCCGCGGAGCCGCCGGTTGCACCGGCGGTGTGCAATTAGATGAATTCGGCGTCTCCTCCCGTGCAATTAATTTAATGATAACGCGCTGCTTCGCGAGCGAACGCAGGATTTTTCTGACTTTCTTATTCCCAGCCTCGCGCGGCCGCAGTGTGTCTGTTTGCCTGTCGCGACGAGATGTCGGGCGGTTTCCCGGCCGGGAAAGCTCCCTTTTCCGCGCGTTGTGACGCGAGAAACGACATTGTTTCCTCGCGCACATATTTTCCCCGAAGACCCCGGATCTTCGTCGGGTTATTCGAGAATGGAAAACTGCACGCTGCCGGGATAAGCCCAGCGTACATTTCAAAGGACAGGATGGCTTGTGTCTTCTATAATAATAGGCCGCCCGATATCTGCGCTTAACGCGGCAGATTGAATATATGAGTAATTCTGTGTTACGAACGCGTTGAATCCCCACGGACTTTTATCCCGACAGAGAGTTTTCCCCGCGAACGATGAGAACTTATTTTCCGTATCGAGAGAAAAACAGCCTCTGTTCTCCTGGGGACCTTGTTAATAGATAAGAGATTGGATTCCAGATAAGGAGATAAGAATCGAGATTTCTGAGAGAATCGCCGCGTATTAGCGAGGAAGCTTCCAAAGGTCGGCGCGATACCTTTTCTTGAGCGACTTTGTCTCGATCTCGGAGAATCATCATTGCACTGAATGTCGCGCTGATCAAAGTACATTTTTTTAATAGCGGAATTCTCACTATAAAATTCTCACCACGTCTGTGACGTGGAGAGACAATTAAAGTAAAAAAAAGAGGCAATTATCTCTAGAGAGCCGATGGAAAGAAGCAACTGTCTCTAATTGCCAAGCAAAAAAAGGTAATCATCTACGAGTAATTACTCGCGGTGAGCGGTAAAACGAGGCGCATGTGCATCTCGAGTGCATATTCGTAATTCGCGACTTCGGCGAATCAATCGATTCGCGATAAAGCTCTCGTGCGATCGACGCAAATTCACGCGGCAGTCGCGCGGCGCGGCGCGGCGTGTTGTATCCAACGAACGAGCGCGAATTCTACATTGCGGATGCGCTCGCAATTCGCAATGTCGGCTCTCGTTCGCTCCGGTGGGAGGCACAAGGATGAGGAGGGACGAAGGAAGAGCAAGGAAGAAATATTGCATGCGCACTTACCGAGCATCTTGCTGAGATCGGCATTGTGGAGATCGGGATTCTCGTCGGCCAATTTCTTGCGCTCGACCTTTGCCCAGACCATAAACGCGTTCATCGGGCGACGTATCCGCTGCTCCTTGAGGCTCCTTTGCGCCTGGCTGCCGCCGGGATGGCACATCTTCACTCCCGCGGGAATCGGCGAGATGCCCTGCTGGTATTCCAGGGACGGCCCGGAAGCCAGCCAGGGCATGTCCTCAAGCCGCTGCTGCGCCGCCGGACCGCTCAGCATGCCCGGTATCTGGTTTCAGGAAATCGCGTTTCACGAAGCGTTTCCCGCTTCGGATCGCTCGGCTCGCGACCGGCTTATTTATCGCCGCGCCCCGATTTACCTCCGAGCCGCGCGAGAATTATCACCGGTGCGGCGCGGCGCGTCTCCGCTGAATTTCGTAACGTGCATTTTTCCCGCGACGCACGCGCGTGCAAAACACTCTCCTCGGAATTCTTCGCGATTCGAGACGCGCGCGGGAAATTAATGATTTCTGCGGATATCTCTCTCTCTCTCTCTCTCGAGCGGGCTCATCAGCCGCGCGTTCCGTAAAAAGCGGCAGGAAGGAAAGTGGCGGAAAGACAGCGCGTCGCGATTGAAATGCAAAGATATTGAAATTTCGTACGTCGCGCCCGGTCCCGGTGCGAACAATAGATGTTCGCGTGCGGTAAAACGCTGTCGGGGTACGATTGCGACTAACTAGCAGGACGAAACGCGAGATTAATGAATGTCGATCGCGCGATCGCACGTGGCGCTCGGCGACTTCGCCTATCTCTCTACCGCCGCCGCCGCCGCCGCCATTGTCTCTCCTGCCCCGTGCGATTTGGACTTGATTTTCATGCGTTCGTCGTGCTCGAGGTCTATATGCGAAGGAACGTAGGTGTAAGGTTTACAGCGCGTCCGCGCGAGCGCGAGTCGTCGTTCACGAGAGAGTGGCACGCGGATCCATCTGTCCGACGAGGACGACATGTCCTGCCGCAAAGCGGGCGTCGCGAGCACGTACCGAGATGATTTGGGTATCGATGGGCATCGAGCTGTCGTTGCCGTCCATATTGGAGTCGATGTCGTAGGCCCGCGACGTGGGTGTCGCGTAAAGCGAGGAATGAAGTGCCAAGAGCCCGGGGGAGCCGCCATAACCGCTCACCGCTGGTGGTGGTGTCACCTCACCCCGGTCGTAATTATCCAGCATCCTGCAAAGTCGAAAGAGAGAACGGTCGTCGTTGGGAGAAGTTGCGAGTCGGGAAAGTACGGCCTCGTTCACACGGGACGCATGTGTCGTCGTCGTCGTCGCAAAGTGCAAAGTGAATTTGCACAAAATTGTCAATTTTACGATCTACGCGGAGGCGCCCGTTTCTCCCGTTTGAAAACAAATCTCGTAATCGTACCGCGATACGAATATTAATTCTTCAAATATCGAGTGCCACCGACAGCCACCACTGACACACTCGCACTCGCACTCGAAAAGCCGTCGCTCTCCGCGCGTGTCCGCGAGAGAGCCGCGCTTTCGGCGCGTTTCTCGCGCGCGCGCGCACGCGCGCGTGTTGTCAGGTCTGCGCGATGTAACAGACGAACGAAATGCATCACCGACAGATTGCATCGTGGACTATCGATGAAGCGCATCGCGGAGAGAGCACAGCGTGCTCGCTCGCGTGCAATAAGTCGCGGCGATAAGCGCGCGCCCAGGCGGCTGCGGGAAGTCCCGATCGATTCGCGGCGTTCGATTTCCGCGAGGAGACGATAAGTCGAGCCGCGCGCGCGTTCGCGATCGGCGTCGTCGTGCCGGCGATCGCGAGAGATCGCGATTCGTACCACGGCCGCACAATAGTAATTGACTTTGGCGTTTCTCTCTCTCTCTCTCTCTCTCTCCCTCCCCCTCCATCCCTCCCCCGTCGTCTCTCTCTCTCTCTCTTTCCATGTCTGTCTCTCGGCCGCGGTTTCTCGCTTTCTGCCGCGTCGCGGCGGGACCGAGAGGCCCGAGTGAAATCCCGTGGGTCGCTCTCGTGCCGGAGAGCGCGATTGATCTGTCAACCCCGTTAGGAAAAGAGTTGATCGACATGAATGAACCATTCAAGGCCACTTAATGGAATTCCCACGATTGTCCTTAAGGCATTATGCGACCCCGCGCGCGCGCCGGGCATAATAGCGCGCGCGGAACAGCTGTCGTACGTTCGCGGCGTTCGCACGAAGCCATCGCGAGCGCGCGCGCGCGGACGCATGCGGAGCGTGGTGCGTATATTCGTACCTGCGTGCGTCCGCACGCGCGAATACGCGCGCCTCTCGGACCGTCCTCTTCCGCGCGGATGCGCGCGTGCCTCACATAATGGCCATTGTTTCACGAGGAGATGCTGCGACGGCGCGGGCGGCCGCGGCGAAAACGCACCGGCGAGTTTTCATTCAGCAAGCTGCGCGCCAGCCAGCTGGCGAGCGACTTTTGTCAGGTTTTATCACGACGAGGGCGACCGCGAGCCTGGCCGGCTGGCTGAGGAGTGCGATTCTCGCACAGAGTCTCGCGGCTCGCCAGGAGGAGATCCTGCGGAGTCGGAGTCTTGACAGGTGTTGCAAATGGAAGGTCGCGGCTTGGACTCGTTGGCACTTGACGAATTCGTCGATTTCGAGTCGATTTCCAGTCGAGTTCCAGTCAGCGAGATTTCCCAGTCGCCGTCGTCGGGGAGAATTTTAACGAAAGTTAGCGAAAGTTAGCATGGAACTTTATGGCCGAGGATCATTGCGATGTTTATCTGCCTCAATTTATCGTTCTTCATAATATTGATAATCTACGTGAGAGTTACGGATAAACAAAGAATTTGTATAAAGAAAAGGATCTGTGCGCGACTCGCGTACCTACCGGCTGAAGGCACGCGCGGTCAAAAATACGACCTGCGGTCGCAGAAGGTCGAAGAACGTCGAAGAAGCGGCGACGCCGCCGACAGGACTTCTTCCACGAATGGGCGCGGAGGGAAACGCGGCTCGAGCGCAGGACAATGACGGACACCGGTGGTCGGGCAAAAGCGCGGGTCGGCCTCGAGGCGTCCGGATGCGTCAGATACGCGAAACAGCGAAAATGCAAAAAAGCCGCGCGCGGCCGGGATTCCTCGGCTTTCGCCCGCCGCGCCGTCGGCCCGCGCGCAGCTGTACACCACCCACGCGTATGATAGATACGCCACTGCCTTCAGCATTGTTTCTTTAATGATTCATGTGGGGTGATTGCACCGCGAGTGGAGGAAGCGGTCTCCAAGCGCGAATGCAATGAGCCCGACGACGTGCCGTTTCGAAAATATTAATTCGCCAAGAGTCATCGCGTCGGAAGACCGACGCTCGGACGTTGAGCATCGCTCGCGCGCATCCTTGATCCCGGGTTCTTTGTCAAAGCCGCCGTTAACAATAGACCTATCGTACAATTACATTCGCGATCGGTTGCTAATGTTGTCGTCGATTTGCAAGAGACTTTTTCCCTCTCGAGGATCATTAAAGAAACACTCGAGCCTCGAGTAGGAGATCGCCACTGTGTCTGACTTTACGCGCTTACTTCCCTCTTGTGCTTGTTTCCGTCGCGCTCGATATAAAGCTTTTGATGAGTTGTTGATGTCACGATGATATGATATGATGAATGGGATGAGTGGAAAGTGTGAAGAGTAATCTCTCACTCTCGATTGAAAAGAGTCTACTTAAACTCCTCGCTTTATTGAACATTAGAATCCTTGGCGCAAGTATCGCAAGTTATTTCACGATGACGATCGTTGTTATAAAAATATAACTCACGATCCGTAGCGAATGTAGTGGTACCAACAATAATTATATCCGGGTTACCGGAAAGTCTTATCATACTTAAAAACCTTCAATTTCCGTGCGGTTGTAGTACGGGTTCTGAGTTTTAATCCAGAATTAATTTAAATTCCAGGTTAGTCGATAACATTTCTTTATTGTATGTATCAACTTTCATTAAGATCGAACTTACTTTTGGAAAATGGCAGCGTTTGAACCAACCGAAGAACACGGAGAAACGGAAAGACTTTCCGGTATCCCTAATAGCAATTAATGTTATAGAATGGCGTCCGCCGTAAAAATTCGCTCCCCGTGTCTCGACCGTAATTCTCGATCGCTGTACGATCGTCAGTGCGGTCACCGAAGTGAAGTACCGAAGAACGTTTCTTTCTCCCGGTGCGCAGCGTAGCGCCGCCGTCGATCACCGAGTCGTACGCAGCGTCAAGATTTGCGCCGGCCGAGATAATTTATGCAGTATATTACGCGATGCGCCAGCGGATTATGTATAGTTATCGTCCGTGCAATATGTTCGCCGCCCGTAGCGAAGCTTGTAACCGTTTAATCGAACGATGTATAATCTTCCGCTAATCTCCGCGATGTACCTCGACGCGTCCGTCGATCGATCGATCGGCCGGCCGGCCCAGCCGGTCGGAGCGGCGAACGAGCAGCGACGAGGAGCGAGGAGGAGCGCGCTTCCGCCTTGCGAAGAAAATACTCCACGATTTTCGACAACGACGACGACAATCATCGTCGTCGTCGTCGACGAGGAGGAGGAGGAGGAGGAGAAGGAGGAGGAAGAGGAGGAGGAGGAGGAGGAGGAGGAGGACGACGACGACGTCCCGCAAAGCGTGTCAAGGAAAAGCGACAGTTATCCTTCCACACACCGACGCGACGCGTCGCCTTTCAGCACGTTGTACAAATCGCCGTTGCCGGGCCACGAGCCGTGCACGGACACGCTATACACCACGTCAGACTCGGCCGAGCAGGGAGACAAAGAACACACCGGCGATCCTCTAAATCGGCATGTCCGTTGAGCCTCATGAATCTCCAGCACGGCTTGTCCTCGGAGACGGAGGGAAAAGCCGCGTGTCTCCTGCACGGTTCGGCACGCAGCGACAGGCCACCACCGCCGCCACCGCCGCCGCCGCCGCCGCCGCCGCCGCCCGCGCCGCGGCGAGAGCGGACTCTCCGTGTCTCTCCGCAGCGGAGAGTCAGTCGCTCTCTTCTCCGTCGCAACGACACACTTGTTCCCCCGGCTAAATTATTCCCCCCTTCCTCAGCGCGCGCGCGCGCGCGCGCGCGCGGAGAGGGAGGGGGCCCGAGCCTTTGAGAGAAGTGCGGAGAAAGCTTTCGACCGGTCTTTCGCGAAGGTCTGACGCGGCGTGGCGCATTTTATTCAAATAATCGCGCCGATCGAACACACCCTTGCATTGCTCGACGACGCGACGCGACGCGATGCGGTCGCAACAGCTCGCATAAAGTGTTTACACTGCGGTGTGCAAATGTGCACGATATATCTATACCACGCATTTATATGTCCGTAGTTGCATATGCGCGTGAATTAATCTGTCGGTTATACGCGACGACGCGGCCTGTGACGCGTGTGATAGAACCGATCACGTAAACAATATGCTAACACGTGTGGCGGGTGGAAGGTTACGCGACCCTAATATCTGCGTTTGCGCAACAGTCGCGACGGCAGTCCGCACATCGATTGCATGTCGAATCGGCGAGATTCGACGCGAATTTCACGTTCGGCAACGATGCGGCGACGATGCTTCCAGATCAGCGGCCGATCGCCACTGCAAAGGAGGAGCGCAATCGCGAAGCATAATGATGATAACGGCGATAATCGATTGAATAACAACGTATCTCTTGCCATCTCTCTCTCTCTCTCTCTCTCTGTCTCTCTCTCTGTCTCTCTGTCTCTCTGTCTCTCTCTGTCTCTTCCTTGCATCGATCAACACGCATTGACGATCGAACCAGGTCGACAGATGTATGTAAATTCGACGAATCGGCGACTTTTACTCGGCCGATTCGTCAAGGTTGTGTCCCTCATGAGAGTCTCTCTCTTCACACGACGCTCCTCGCATTTGTCAGTTCAACGATTAATTCCATACATTCGCTCCGCGCAGATGCGATTAAAACATCGCAAACAAATCGCAAAGTCGCGCGTCGCGCGATCGTCGTAAAAAGTTTATCGAGGACCAGCGGCGAGCGATTGTTAATAATTCGCGTATGTGCGGCGCGTAATTGTCCAGGCGTAGCGGCGCGGCGCGGGCGGCGCGGGCAGCACGTGCCTGGTCGGTAGATTTATAAGTCGCCGATTAAACTTTTAAATCGAATACCCAATGCGGTTCGGTTAGTAAGCGGAAGTCACGACCCCAGCCGCTCACCTCTGCACTACTAACGCTCCGGCGCGTTTCAG